GGGGGGGGGGGTCAATAGATGCTTGCTGGGGCCAGGCCAGGTCTAGATGATGCCGGGCCACGCATACATGGGCAGGTGGTAGCGGTTGTAGTGCAGGTAGTCAAGGATGCTCTTCTCCACCAGGGGCCGGTAGATGGTGTCCTCGAATACTCTCCTGAGGTAATTCCTGGGCTCTTCCTTGAGGTTGACTTCCTCATCTTCTATCTGGCGCACCAGCTGTTCTATGGAAGGCAGGCCTTCCTCCTGCAAAATACAGCAAGAGCCAAGTACAGAAATCACCTGTGCTCAGCGCCACAATAAACAGGAGTTTTTCTAAAATAAAGATGGTACTCAGCTGCTACAAATGGTACTTTTTCCCTAGCATTTTAGATTTGGGGTGGGGGAGTTGGTACTTAGGATCAAGCTAGGCAAGCGATCACTCCCACATGGTAGGCCAGCTGCTTCTACTGAGCTACATCCCCAGATCTTTTCATTCTGAGACAGGATCGCACAGATTGCCCAAGCTGGACTCGGATTTATGATCCTCCTGCCTCGGCCTCCTGAGTAGCTGGGATGACAGGCGTGTGCCACTGTGTCAAGCTGTAGACATTTTTAGTTGCAACAAAATTTTATCATTTTAAGATTTTAAATGTACTATTCAGTGGCATAAATAAATACTTTCACACTGGTGTACAACCGCTGCATGATCCATCTCCAGAACAGTTCACCTTCCTAAAACAAAACTGTGTGCCTGTTAAATGATTGCTGTCTGTTGTGTGCTCCCTTCCAGCCTCACGACCACCTTTCCACTTCCTGTAGGAATCTGAGTACTCTAGGGACCGCAGATGAGTAAAGTTATGGAGTGCTTGTCCCTATGTGCCTGGTTTCTATCACTCAGTGCAGTGTCCCCTTGTTCACCAAGGATGATCATTTTAAGCTCTTATTTATTTTCAGATAATAAATATTTGCAGATGATGCTTGCTTTAAAAATAAGAAAGGAATCAGGTTGGGGGATTTAGCTCAGTGGCACCGTGCCTGCCTCGAAAGCACAAGTTCCTGAGTTTGATCCCCGGTACCAAAACAACAACAACAACAACAACAAAAACCAAGAAGAAAGAAAAATAAGAAAGGAAGCCAGGTGGGGTGGCACATGCCTATAATCCTAGCACTCCAGCAGCCTGGGTCAAAAGGATCAGAAGTTTGAGCCCAACCTGGGCAACTTAGCAACCTAGCAAGACCCTGTCTCAAAGTAAAAAAAAAGGGGGGGCTGGGGGGTATAGCTCAATACAAAGGCCCTAGACTCAATTCCCCAGTACCAAAAAAAGGGGGCGGGGGAGGGGGTGGTTAAACATTTGTGCTTGAAAACTCTTAGCTGGGTTCCTTTACTTAGTTATAATCCCTAAGAGGACTTAAAAACTTTGATTCTTAGTAAAGTCAAATTTCATTGAAATCTTTAAAGAGAGGGTTCGAGAGAATAAAGCTATTTGAAGTTGAGAATCAGATCCTTTGCAATCTATAATAGAGGTTTTTCCAACATTTTATCTTAAAAGTTTCAAAGACAGACACAGAAACTGCCCAGTGAACACCTGCACACCACTCAGATTCTGCAGGTAACTTCCTGCTGGATCTGCTCCACAGTTTTTATAAAACAACACCACCAGTCCGAGCTGCACAGGCCCTGCACACGGTAAGACACTGCTCTCCACGAAGAGTCACCCGCACTCTGATGCTCTATTTATTTCAACTCCCAAGAATTCTTTTTATTTCAAGGAGAAAAAAAAAGTGGATACTTGAAGATGCTTTGGGATCACTAACTTGTTGACTTAATGGTGAGAACACATAGATGGAGAAGAAGATGCAGGCTGCAGGCGGGGCTTGCTGTCATCACCTGGTTAAGCAGGGCGAGGTAGTGCTCAGAGCTCTGACGCCACCCCCCCAGGCAATGGGAGGAAGGAGGACAGCCACTGTGCACAGACACTGAGCCCTGGGCATGCTGCCCAGGCCCGCCTTGGTTTTCCTGGAGAATTGTACAGCTTGACACAAAAACAAGGACCTCACTGGAAGCAGGGAGATTCGGGCCACCCTTGTAAGCAGCTGTTGGGATCTGGGGAGCACAGTACTAGAGGAGCTCGAGGTGGAGCTTTTCCGATCATTAGACAAATGCTGCTCTGGGTGAGGAAGGACTTCTGTGCCCTTGTCCCTCCCAGTGAGACCCTCCCCGGAGGCGGCCACCTCCTTCTCAGCACCTCACGCACCCATGCTCTCTGTGTCTGGCTTCTTTCACTTCGGGTAAAGTTTTTTTTATGTTTTTTAAAATAATCTCCTGAAAGTGCTTTACTTAATTTTAGTCCTTTTTACATTTAGTTATTTTTAGTTTATGGGTTTTTTTTTAGTACCAGGGATTGAACTCCGGTCCTTAGCTTGCGAGTCAGGCAGTGGAACCACTGAGCTAAATCCCCGGCCCTAGTTATTTTTAATTGATGAATAAAACTGTATTCCTATGGGGTACAATATGAGGTTAGGATACATGTCTACATTGTAAGGTTATTATTATCGTTATTCATATTTTTGTGGTACTAGAGATTGAACCCTAGGGCCTTTGCACTAGGTTACCTCCCCAGCCCTGAGTTGTACTTTTGAGACAGGTCTCAGTAATTCCCTAAGTGGCCCAGGCTGTGCTTGAATTTGCGATCTTCCTGCCTCAGCCTCCCAGAGTTCTGGGATTACAGACATGTACCACCATGCCTAGGTCACACTGTGAAATGACTGAGTCAAGTAATTAGCATGTCCATCAGCCACACACTGCTTCTTTGTGGTAAGAACGTTTGGAACCCACCTCTCAGCAGCTGTGAAACATACCGCGCACTGTTACCAATTGTGTTCACCACCCCTTCTTCCTCTAACTGAGGCTCTGTCCCCTTGGCACATCTGCACCTTCCCATTTGTCACCAAATCCTCTGGTAACCACCTTTCCACCCTCCTTTTCTGCAAGTTTTACTTTTCACATTCTATGCAAGTGAGATCAGGCATAGCCTGGCTTCTCTCCTAAAACCTGACCTAAGGGGCCATCCATGTTGTCATTGCCCAAAGTAAACTTTCCTTCATTTTCAGGGCTGAATAGTATTCCACTGTATATACCACATTTCCTTTGTCCAGTTGCCCACAGATGGACACTTAATTTCCATATCTTGGGTACTAATAAATACAGGAGTGCAGAGGTCTCTTTCTCATACCAACGTCAATCCTTTGCATATTTACCCAGGAGTGGGTTTGCTCAGGGTAGCTCTATTTCTAACTTTCATACTGTCTTCCATATTGGCCTAATTTACATTCCCTCCATGGTGTTCCAGCCCCTCTTCCCACCATCCTTGCCTGCACTTACTATCTCTTTTCTTCTTGATAACAGTCATGCTAACAGATGTGCAGTCATAGCTCATTGTGACTTTAGTTTTCATTTCCTGATGAGTAGTGATACAGATCCTTTCTTCATTACACCCACTAGCCATTTGTATATCTCTTTTTTTCCCCTGGTACTGGATATTTAACCTGGATTTCTACCAATGGGCACTTTTTTTTTGAGACAAGGTCTGAGTACATTGCCCAAGCTGGCCTCATAATCCTCCTGCCTCAGACTCCCAAGAAGCCAGAGTTACAGGTGTGTGTGTGCCCCCACACCCAATTTGTATGTCTTTTTTTGATAAATGTTTATCCAGGTCTTTGCCTCTTTTAAATCACAGTTTTTGTTTTTTTGTTATTGAGTTGAGCTCCTTACTTGGTTTGGCTATTAGCCCCTTATCAACTGTGTGATTTGCAAATATTTTCCTCCAATATGCAGGTTGTCTGTTCCCTTTGCTGTGTAGAAGCTTTGATGTAGATCCATTTCTTTATTTTTCTTTTTGTTGCTTGTGCTTTTAGTTTCATATCTAAAATATTATTGCCAAAACCAATGTCAAGGAGTTTTCCTCTAGGGCTTCTGGAGATCCAGGCAAGAATACTTTAGATGGAATCGATGTCCATGGCAGGGTGTACTGAGGGCCAACTTCATCCTTCCTCGTGTACCCAGTTTTCCCAACACCATTTAGTAAGGAGCCTGACCTTCCCCACTGTATCAAAAGTCAGCTGCCTGTAAAATGCATTGGTTCATCTCTGGGCTCTGTCCTGACCTGATGTCACTGTGCCTGTGTCACAGCAGGGCCACGCTGTTTGGATCACCACAGCTTTGTGGTGCATTCGGAAGTCAGGTACAGTGGTACCTCTGTCCGCCAACTTGATTCTTTCCACAATTCTGGTCACAAACTGAGTTGGGCAAGAACCAAATCAAATTCCATGATTAGGTTCAATGTTGACTTTATGGGGAAATTTGATTCAGTTCTCATCCAATTTGGTCTGTGACCAGAATCCTAGAAAGAATTGTTTGTGAACCAAGGCACCACTGTACTTTTGATGCTTCCAGCTTGTTTTTTTTAATTTTTTATTTTTATTACCCTTGCCTGGGTCTTTCGCGATTTCACAGAAATTTCACCTGGAAGGAAGCTTCCCTGCCGCCATCCCAAGCTCCTAAGGCACAGAAGGTGAGCCACACGGGTGCCAGAAGCACCACCACCACCCCCGTGGAAATGAGAACACATGTAAACAAGCCTCAAAAACAGACTTCTGGATCACCTACAGCAACCTCAAAGGGAAATGAGATGGAACAATCTGATACTCAACCACCTGGACTCTCTGAACTGGCAACAAAAGAGGATCTGGGAAAAATGAAATCAGAAATAATTTCTCAGATAACAGCAAAGATTGTGCTCATGGTGCAAGACATGATTAATAAATCTAGAGAGGACACAGATAAAAAAATAGAAGATCTGAGGAACATGATGGAATCCCAACATAGGAAACAAATGGAATCCATAAAACAGATGTAAACAGATTTCCAGGAGATTAAAAACTCCATCAAAAGTCTGCGCAGCAGAATGAACCAATGTGAGGATAGAATTTCAGATATAGAAGAAAAGGTTGCAATTAGTGACCAGGAAAAGAAAAATTGCTTTAAAATTGTAAAGGAACTTGAGAAATCAATCCAGCAGCTGCTAGACGATGCAAAGAAGAATAACATAAGACTAATTGGAGTCAACGAAGAAACAGGAGAGAGTGCAGATGACGTAAAAAAAACTGTTCACAGAAGGGATGGCAGAAAACTTCCCAAGCAGGGGAAAAGAACTTGACATACAGATAGGTGAGGCATATAGGACTCCAAATAGCCTTGATCAAAA